AGTCATAAGGCATTTTAATTTCAAGTTGAATTTTAGTATGGTGATCGGCATGAATTTTTTTCATTTGGGTTGTATTAATGTCATTTAGTTTACAAATGACTAAGTGAGGCACAAATGAAGACCAAAACCATTTGAAACTGAACCAAAACCAAGTGGTTTAGTTCTATGGCCATTTAATTTGCAAATGACTAGATTTTGAACTTTTGAGTTTGTTTGAATGTTGAGACTTTTATTAATGTCAATTAATGGCAGAAGGAGTTCTCTTCAACATTGCAAAGAGATCATTGGAAGGCAAAAGCCTGACTCTTGCCACTAAGAGCATTTCCAACACTACTAACTAAATTTTTGACGTTTTAGTTAGCTGAATGCCCAAAAACTATTATAGCTAGCCAATTTAGCATAAGCATCTCCAACGCTATTAGCTACTTTTTTAAAAACAACTACAATATTTTATTGTTTAACAAATAAACCTTTAATAATAAATTAATTAATCATTTGACCAAAATAATAAATTCCAATCCACCAACAATTCTAGAACCATCGGTCGGACTTGCCTACAATACTTACATGTATTTAACATAATCAACACAAAAGTCTCACTATGTGGATTTTTTTTGTGTCTTCTTTTTTTTTTTTTTTTTTTTTAGTGAAATCCTAATGGGCCAGAGAAGGGTAATTTAAGTATAATGAAAATTTTCACATTTTTTGTCTTCTTCCTTTATATGTGTATGTGTGTGTGTGTGTTCAAACACCCATAAGAAAAAATGGTGCTATTTTTTGGATTAATGGAAGAAGTCTCACGTTCGATCCCTCCTGCACATTCGTAAAATAACCTATGAGAAACCAATTTCTTTAGCACAAACTCAGCATTCATGTCCATTTTCATTAATTTCTTTTAGCACAACTCATCAATCCCCAACATTTTACTCTAAGTTGTAATATTTATGCCACTTAATGCTAAGGCCTATTGACATTCCTCTTCGCTTGTAAGTGAGATGTCTTAAGAGATTTTGAAAGATTTTAAAAGAATTATAAATTCATGGAGTTTAATGGAGTTCCACCATGTGAATTTCAGGTGAATTTATTAAAAATCTTAGGGGGAAGGCCTGATTTTCTAAAGCCTAAAAAGCACTACAAAATCTCTTCAAATCCATTTAAATCCTTCATCTTTTAAAATACTTTAAGGGAATTGTTATTGACACTCCAAACTTTATACATTTGGAAAGAAAAATACACTTGTGAGGAGTGTATAATGAGATTTTTAGAGTGCTAATAACAATTCTCTACTTTAAAGTTAAATCCTAACTGAATATATGTGGAATCTTGTAGACTACTCTAAATTTGAAATGAATACCATTTGAACTCTTGGATTTTTATACTCTTCTAAATTGTTGATTGAATAGTTACTTAGTATTACAGTCTAGTACTATTTTTCTTCACTTGTAAGTGAGAGGTCTTAGGTTCGATTCTCGTCAAAGACGAAGTTGAACCACCTTATTGTTAGCTTATTATGAGGCTAAGCCCACTCTCCCTTCCTAATGTAGACAATATTGTTTGTTTAAAAGAAAAAATTGTTAATTGACTACTTATGGACTTCCATGTATTCATTTAAAATCTCAATTGAATATATCTAGATTTGTAAACTCTTTTAAAACCTTTTATACTTCTAATTCCTAAAGGCCAAGTTGGATAACAAATTTAGATTTCTTTCATAAAGATCGCATTGTCACCAATAATTTCCATGGCATTGTTTTTCTCTACCGTGTTGGATACATTACCAATTCTGCCACCAAACGCGCTGCGGATGTGCACGCAACTCACATCTGCTGTAAACCCTTCTATCACGTTAAATTGTCAACTTCTAAAACAAACACAATACCCGTTCTTTGTAATATTCCAAAGGACAATCATCAACCGTCTAATCTATAAATATGACAAAAATTCCTCCTTAATCCCACCATCCTCAGCCTCAACTGTCAAATATTCCAAGACGTTTTTGCTCATCATAGCGTAAAAGGCACCGCAAGGCCACCATGGAAATGAAGAAGATTGCTTGCGCTGTCCTCTTCGCCGCCGCCTCTGTCAGTGCTGTGATGGCTTCTGAAGGCCACGCCCACGCCCCTGCCGAGGCACCTTCAGGAGGAGCCCCAAATGATGCCTCTGCCAGCCTCCCCGTCTTGGGGTCCGTGGTTGGTGCCTCCATTGTGTCATTCATTGCTTACTACATGCAGTAACGTAATCAAGAAAGAAGGAATGAGAAATAAGCGAGAGGAGATCAACTGAGTAATTCAAAGGAAGAGTGGTGAGGTTTATTTTTTTGTTCCTAAATTGAGGGTCTCTCTTGGTTCTCATTTCTTTCAAGTTTATGTGAAACATGTATTTTATAATAACGCAATAAAGAGTTTCTATTATTTAGTTTTGATGCATGGTCTCAGACTACTGAAAATGTTGCAGTGTGCAAAGTGTTATTGTAGATAGAGAAATCATGTCTCATGATTTCTCCCGGTACTATTAAAGTGATTTAGAAAAAAGCAAGAAAGTTTCATTTTCAAAGTGGTAGTCATTGAAACAAGGGAACTTTAACAAAAAGCTCCCGGTACTATTCACTTTAACGAAAAATTACATTTTGACATTAAAAAGTCAATCCTGATACTATTCACGTTACCCTTTATTTTGTCCTTATCGTTAAAACTCAAAGTTTTCAAGTCATTTTCATTAGTTTTCCTTTGAAACAATACTTGATTAGAAGAAAAGTCATAATATTGTATTTATAATTTCAAGTCTTGAGAGGTAACGAGAGTGGAAGTTTCCAGTTGGAATATGATATGAAATTTCTACTTAACTTTATATGATAAAGAAATTTTCAAGTAACGTCCAAATGCTTCAGTTTCGAGCTTTTTGTATGAATTATAAATGTAGGAAAACATCCTGAAATTAAGATAATTAAAAAAGGAAAGTAACTATAATACCAAGTATATATTGTCGCGTTGATCTGTTGCTGCATTTTGTTGAGAAGTCAAGGGTATGTTATTGTTACCATATGTTTATAACGTTTGTCCATTAATTCGAGCCATTTTCCTGTTGTCCTTTTCATCATGAAATATGATTTGAGCCATTTTTGTACTATTATATGAAAGTTCCACCAGTCAGTCGTACGGTTCGGTTTTATTATTATTATTTTTTCATTTACAAGTAGTAAGTTTTAAGTTTGATACTTATGCACATGTGATAGTTTAACCTAAATTTCTTTTCAATGTAAATATATATCACTATATTAAAAACAGATATTTTGTATTAGCATCTTACATATTATTGTAGGTGATACTATATACATCCAAGTCGTGCACCAAATGACATGGCATATTTTACACATAAAATTTCTTATTACAATTATTAATCAAATTTCAAGGTATTTTTAAAGTCAAATTGATTAGTGCCACATCATTTGACTATAAATTTGGTCCACAAATTGGAGTAAATTAGTTGAAATTTAAAAATAAAAAAAAGTTCAACTAGTTGTATTATAACACTTAGGGGGCGTTTGTTGCGCCGGACTATCTCGAACTGGATTAGCTTCAAGGACTAAGCTGGACTGGCTTAGACTAGACTAAACTGAACTAACTTAGTGAAGCGTTTGGTGCAGTATTGGACTAAGAAGTTGGATAATAACAAATTCTAATATTATCTTTTTCTCCATCTTTTCCTACCATTTCCGTCCCACTCTTTTTCTCTTCTCTCATCGTCCCACCCTCTCCCTCTTTTTTTCCACTTAGACCTCTCAATTCATGTCTCTTTCTCATTCCTGGTCAAACTCCTTATTGATTCAAGTCTCTATTTCTCTGTCCTCCCCACCTCTCTAGCTATGCGTTGTTCGAACGGAACCTCACGGCTTCAATTTTCCCGACGAGTTGCAGGTTTCCCAATGTGTTTTTCGGCCAACCCTCATTAAATTGGATAAAGTTAGCACCGCCAAAAAATTCATCATCATCCCTGGACCGAGATCTTAGCTTTGAATGCTTGAATTTGTCATGGATTTGAAGAAGCCCAAACAGGCCGAGACTTCCAGACCATTTTCTGGCCACATTCGACCACATTTTAGCCTCGATTCAGGTAAAATCGTAATCTTGTCACTCCCAGCTTCAATTTGGTATATTTTATATGAAAGTTGGTTATGAAATGGATCTGAAAGAGAGTTGGAAAGTTAATGATTGATCTAGGTGACCGGAGATGACGAGAAGTCTGTCGGGAGTGGTCGTTGAGCATGACGAGGACGAGCAAGAGAGGATAGTCTTAGCTAGTCCCATAGTTATTGGGGGGTCTCGCTAAGACCTCTTAGTGAAGGGTTTTGTCCATGCTAGTCCCCTTTAGTCTCATTAATGTTAGTCCCAGCATGGAACAAACACAGTATTGGACTAATAGCTAGTCCAATCCAGTCCAGTCCAACTTAGTGAGGGCAAACAAACGCCCCCTTAGTGTGCTAAAATGGGTACACTAAAAAATTTCTCCACTATTGTTGAGGTGCTCAACAACAGAAAGTGATCCCTTCCAACAAGTCCACCAAATCCACTCATTCGGACCCTTGATCCAACGGTTACAAACAAGAGATCTTTTTAAAAGCTATAACAACTTTAGCCATTGAGTCAAATTTTAATGGTCCAGAAGTGAACTTGGTGGAAAAGATTCTGAGAGGATGTCTGTCCTCAACAACGATTCTCGCCTCAACAGTCCCTCTTCTCGTCCGGGACAACCACTGGTCCACTTCATATAGCTCTGCATGTCTAAGTCGAGTCCAAATTGTCGATTAGGTTTGGCGGGAAGGCCATGGTCTGGGTCATGCACAACCCGCCATGGTCTGCTTGAAATTATTTTGGGCCAGGCCTCTACATTCGGCTCATGCCCGAAGCCCGCACCTAGACATGCGCAGGAGAGGTAAACGCGCGCCTTGAAAGATAAATTGTTCTCCTCTCCTCCTCCTAAAGTTACCCTTCCCTCTCTCTCTCTCTCTCTCTCTCTCTAAATTCTTGGTTCAACAAAAATGGCGGCCATGATCACACGCAGATTCAGCTCCAAGCTTTCAAGACTCTCTCATCCTCACTCATCACTGTCTGCTTCCTCCACCTACCTCACCGCCCAAAAGCTCCAAAACCCTGAAACCCCTAACTGCTTCACTCACTCCTCCAATTCCACTTTCTCCCCAAATCCTTTCAAATCTTCATCAAACCCCACCATCACTATCGAGCGCTACATAAAATCATCAAATCCAAAACCCATAAACCCTAATCTCATTTGGGTACCCAATTCAAATTCCATTACTCAAAACCCTGAATTCAAAAAAACAAATCTTGGTCTTGCTTTTACGCAATCGTGTCCAAGTTTCAGTACCAATTTGTACAACCCTAGGTTTAATGGGTTATCAGATCAAAAGCCCAGATTTTTTTCAACCTCCTCTAGTTCATCGCCATCGGATTCAGAATCTGAAAAACCCCAAAACCCTAGTGAATACCCTAGTCAAAACCCTAATTTCAAGCACCAAGAAATCGAAGGACCGACGGTGGAGCGAGACCTTTCGACATTGGCCAATGAGACCAGAGATGTTCTGGAATCGATGGCGAAAAACATGTATAGTCTGAGCAGGGCATTGGCTCTTCTGGGTTTGGCCCAACTCGGCGTCGGAGCTTGGATTTCGTACATTACCAAATCGACCCCACTGCCGGAAGTTTCAGTTCAGAGCATTCTGGCTTTCGGGTTGCCGTTTACATTGGCGTTCATGTTGAGGCAGTGTTTGAAGCCAATCTACTTCTTTAAGAAGATGGAGGAGCAAGGCAGGCTGCAGATTCTGACTCTCACTCTTCAGATTGCTAAGAATTTGAATGTGTTCTTCGTTCGGGTTCGCGGCGTTTCGTTCTTGTGCATTGCCGGTTTGTCCGTTGGAGTCTTGTTTGCTGCCCTCACAAGATGAAGGATGAGTGATTAAGATTAACTCTGTTTTAAGTATTGTTTTTCATGAATTTTGGAAGTTCCATACTTCCCTATTACTAAGTTATCAGTTGAACCTTTTGCAATGTTGGAAGTTCTTGTTACATGTAGCAATTCTATGGTTTAGTAGACTCTGAATTTGGATCACATTCAAGTAATGAAATGATGATTGCGTTTATTGTTCTAAATTCACGGTCTGATAAAATAAGTATCTTATGTTGTCCGACAGTGGAGCAAAAGAACACTTCATTTGACAATGTTAGAGAGGATATGCCTAAAAAAGCTGTGCTTTAGGATGCATGGAGTTATTTGGATGGGTAAATTATTTGGTGAATAGCGAAGTTACACTCCGTATATTTACGTGCATTTAATATAATCACCATCTTACAGTCATATATATATATTCATGTAAATATGGTTACTACATACAATAATTGACGTAAGATAATAGATAGATACGTGAAAGAAAAAAGAGGGAGCACCTTCATCATTCGGAAATATAGTTGGCAAATTACATAACGAGTATATTTTCATAAAAAATACAATAAGTTAATTACTTGGGCACTTTGCTAGAAGCTATACTTCAAAACAATTTGGGCAATATTTACAGGCGATTTTTTTAAGAGAAGTTTAACAAAAAGCTCATAATACTGTTCATTTTAATGAAAAACCACATTTTTACACTAAAAAACCAATTCCGGTACTATTCACTTTACTCTTTATTTTGTCCTTATCGTTAAAACTTAAAGTTTTCAAATTCTTTTTATTAATTTTTCTTTTTAACAGCTAAGGTGACAATGTGTAATCAAGTCGAATATTTAATCCTTCAAACCAAAAATACAGTAAAAAAAAAATGTAAATAAGCAAAAGTCAGGAACCTGGAAGCACATACTAATCTCTCTTTTTCCCCATTTATCATTTTTTTTTATCAAAATATAAATATTAAAAAAAGATTAATAATAAAGTTAATATCCTTGGAAAAAAGAAAGCATTAATCTGTCCGGCCTATACACAAATTCGAATGACACACGCAAAAGCTGAATACTCCTCTTTATCTCCAAAAATATTTTCCATCGCTTTATCCCCATATGCCATAACAAGTCCCTTTGATCTCTAAACCAAAATTTGCGAGTGGGGAAGCCCTCGCCTTCACTTCTTCCGCCTCCATGTAAAAATGTTCTCGACCATATACAAAAAGAATTTAATCCAATTTATTGGAATTTCGAGGACCTCGAGCATTTCAAGTCGGGCATATCGCAGAAGGTAACATCACTTTCGGGACTAGTTCCCCTCTGGCTTAGGTTCTGTTCGAACGTAGGTTAAACTGCGAGCTGTTGGAGAAGGAACAGCACTGGCAGTGGCTGGAGAACCCGTCTCACCTGGAGTGGCCTGAGTATCACGCTTCCACTGCAAGCTCCTGGCACCAGGCTTGATTAGGGGACGAGGCCTATACGCACCAGACATGCCTCTCGGGAAAGGGGACCTACCAAACCTGGCAGTGGCAAATGGAGAGCCCCGGGCAACCCTTGGCCACATCATGCCAGGAGCAGCTTCTTGATGTGCAGCTCCCCTCTTTTCAACCTGCGATAGGATGATAACAATGGTAAACATTCGGTTCCTACATTTAAAACACCAAAAAATACAAATGAAAAATGTATGGATTCCATGATCCTTTTTATATCGTCTAATGGTTGATTATGAATCAAATCCCAAATATAATGAGCAATACATATCCTAGCTGCAAAGATTTTGCCTTGAAAATTATATGCCAAGAAGCAAGCTAAATAAGGTCTGTTCTCCAAAGACCTAACAATAGCAAAAAGTCATCACTAGCGAGTTATGAGTTCTAGTTACTACAATGATATATACCTTGAGGATCCGTGACATGAAAGAGGTTCCATCCAGAGATAATGCATTGTCTGCCGCTTCCTTCCGTGTGAACTCTACATAAGCCGACCTGCTCAAGTAAAGTCATTTAGCAAAGACTAAGTAAGGAATATGTATTCTCCTTGTATCAAAGCAATGGCTAGGCTAGTAGATGAGAAGGGAAGAAGAATTATGACGAGACATCTTACCCTTTAGGTTGCCCAGTTGCCGAATCAGTGACTATCACTACTTTTAGCACTTCCCCAAACTTGTTGAAATGTCGAGAAAGACTATCTTTTGTAGCAGCAAAATGGACCTGTGCATCCATAACAAGATATAACTAAAACTGGAAGTGCCCAAAACCAAGACAAAACATCAAATTTTGAACAAGAAGGGAGCTATTACATTGTTAACAAAGATAGTTCGAGAATCTGCATCCTCCAAAGGGCGCCCCCCACTGGCATATAGACCTGCATGATATTCCACAAAAAAAAAAATTAATAAAAATTCATATTTGCATACTACTCGAATCAAGAAGTTCCAATGCCAGAAAGAGAATCGATTATTTGAGTTAAAAGTAGGGGCTTGACTTCTCTCATTTCTAAATAGGGGAAAATAGTAATAACGTGAAAACAAGTTTCCAAACTCACCACTAGAAGAGGAAAGCATCTTCTGAGAATCTGCAGCGGGTATTGCCTGTTGCCATAAAAAGATGTATTCAAAAACAGTCTCTAAGTGCAACGAAATATCAAGTAAATTTCAAGTATAAGTGATGATTGAGGAGCGGTGGTGTGTGTGTGCATCTTACATTTCCATTACTTGCTCCGACAGGATTGCCATTCTCATTCATCACATGCAAACCAGATTTGGAAACCCCTGCCGCACTATCCTGTAAGGATTTCCAATCATCATCGGCAACTTCTCTTGGCTCCTGATAATGGGGTGGTTTCCACGTATTGACATTCACAGATATGTTCATAATCTTATGCGAAGAATTCGCAGCTGCAATAGGTTGGCCATGATCTGTATTCCTGGATAGCCGCATAACATCATCAACATTCTTCGCCACATTGTACCCCGACGTCAGTGAATTTTCACCCTTGCTTCCACCGAATGTCCCAGTTTGAGAAACATCAGTAACACTACGACCCATAACATTAACATCATCAAACCCTTCCTTGTCCGATATAAAATCAGAAGCCAAACCAGTTTCACTTTCTAGCATAGCATTCCCTACATACTGTCCACTATATTGACTTCTAGCCAGATACGACGATTGTGTTTGCTCAAGAAGTTGGACGTTGTCTTCAAATTCAACATCCCCGGTAGCAGCATCTCTAAATGATGCAAGAGGCACACTGGTCTCAGAAAACTCCATACCACGACCAAGTCGGTCAAACACACTTCCTGAAGGTTTGACTCTTGTTACATCCTCAGCAGCTTCTGCAACAGCTTTCATCACAGTTGACATGGGATTTGGCACCCTGGCCACAGACTGAATCCGTCGAGGACGATCAACCAATGATGAGTCAACAGTGGGTGTAGATACCACAGAACGAAGACGCTTCAATGTGGGCTGCGTTGCTGAATTGGATTGCCTTGAGGTTGTCAGTGCATCACGCATGGCAAACTGGAGTAGCCGTCGAGGGGCATCAACTTGCACTTGAGAAACTGGCTCCCTCTGTCAATAAGTTGATGATTGAATGAGAAAGTTGGATAACTGTTATCAAAGTGCAACATACTATACCAAAAACGTCTTCAAATGCTTCTTCTTAAATTGAATACTTAGTCCAGCCTACAAAACCATCTTGCTTTATTTTTATTTTTAATTTTTTTAGGAGGAAGAGAGGAGAGGGGTGTTTTTTGTGAGTGAGTGTGTGCTCCCAAGACAGCTGCAGAACAGATAATTATGTTCAAATCTTTCAAATTTTCAGATTTTTGTGAGTGGTGTTTATGTTCAAATCTTTCAAATTTTCAGAATATGAGGTTATTTATAACTATTTAACACAGAGAGAAAAAAATTTGACTTTTCCATACAACTGAAGAACAGATAATTATCACATGAATCAATATGCCCCCAAGACAGCTGCAAGATCCACGATCAAATTACTAGTGTCAAATCAACTACCCCCTGTTTATCATAAAAGAAAAAAAAATCAGAAATTCAAACCTCTGTATTATGTCGCTCATCGGACCGAATCCTTTTCCTTTGAGCTGCAGATTGACGTGAAGGAGACTTTGCACGACTGACTTTGCTATGACTTTTATCTTCTACATGAATATCTCCAATCTCAGAGCTTCGAAAAGGAGGGGGTTCGGCTTCATCCCTCGCTAATCCTTTCCATTCCCTATTGTGACGGCTTCTAGTTACCTTATTATTAGACTTCTCTCTTTCTGGCTCAGAACTCAAATGATAAGAATCACTTTTTCCAATTAAGTCACCTGATGTCGTTTTTCTTTTACTCACATCCTCAATCTCAGAATCTTGTGATTGTAGATGCAAATCCGAATTTGAAGCCAGATGATCCCACAACCTAGCGAGGAAAATTTCACAATAAATACATGACCAAACTAAACAACCATTATATGTGGAATAGCATTCCTCATAAATGAGAGAAAAAGAAGAATTACCAAGAAACAAAAGAATCACTGTCATCCCCCAAAAACACGTTCAACTCATTCTTTGCTTCTTCTTTGCCTCTGCCATTCCTTAAAAGGACAATAACATATTCCTGCAAGGAAATTAGAAAATTCAGCGAAAGTTCTAGTGCCATAACTGTTGTCAGTGGATAGATTTACATAAAGAAAATAAACGAGGGGGTGAACTCAAGTAGAGAACTGAACACAAACAAATATGAAGAGGAAGGAAAAGAAACGTCCTCAAATATGTTTCAGCTTTCATCTCATGCATATGAAACTCTACTGACAGGTATGTAAAGGGCACAGAAAAAACTCCAAGGTTATGGATAGCAAACATCAAGTACAATCTAATCCAAAAACAGATGGACACATGTACTTGTATGCAATTCTCACGTCCTGTAAAAAAAGAATGATATTTGTGGGCTACTTCAGATATTTTAATTTCTTTTGTTTAATTTCATGGTCGTATTGCCTCTCTAAGGTCAGAAATAAGGTCACGATTGGTAAAAGAAGGTAAGAAGATCGGAAAGCAATCTCAAAGTGTCCCATTCAAGAAGTACCGAAAAAATTGGTAACACTGTATTTCAAATTTTCTATTGGACACATTAAATAGCCATGTCCTTTCAGGCCCAAACTTGATGCTTTGCCTACTAGTAAGAAATAGCTCAATAACCCTTCAAATCCATGTTTAAAGCTCGTTGCACACATAAATTTATCAGGAGGTACATAACAAAGGCCCCTATTTAACCCCCTCCCCCCACCCTCCTTTCTTTTTCCTTTTATGAGTTTAGCAATCGCCAGTAGTCCACCAGAAAAGCATTCCAATCTGCCGTGTATTACTAACATCACATTATATTTCCTCGATCATTAAGGAGAAAATCAGCATTTGAGAGATTGGGAGAGGACATCTGCATTCTTATAAGAGGACCTTTCACATTGGTATGTTGTCCCTCCCTCTTGGGAAACTATCATGAAAGCTTTTCTAGAAACCCACACAAACAATCACCTTAAAAAATTCCATGAAAAAATAACCCCAAGCAATGGTCATAAACGTTGGCACACTTCCTGGACCTAATAACTCACACTTTGAACAATGGGCATAAATTCATTAAAAACCTTAGTAAGGCATCCGAACTTTTTTTCTTTCATAAAAGGTACCCAACCTGAAGCAACAGAAGTGCAACCATTCTCTAATAGAGAGCTCCAAAATCTAGGCAATGATTTAAATGGAAATGAATTTTGAAAGTTCGGTAATGCTTATGTATTAGTATCTCCATGTCCAACCTACAATGCCTACCGTAAATCAAATGGCAACATCATGCACGAACTAGCCTAACTACAGTTCACTAATACCAATTCATGGTACCATCAAAATAAATCAAATCCAGGATATCCAATAGAGTTTTTTGACCATGAAGTCGAAACCAAATCCAAATCTGTACTTCAGATATAACCTAAAAACCACGAAAACGATAGCCAATTATAACAGAAAATCAAACGGAACAAATTCCCCCAATCAAAGCATTAAACTGGCCAATAATCAGCATAAATTTCAGAACAATGCGCAAAAGATTACTAGTAGCCGAACGAGAGAGTCCGTACCACAAGAGTGTCGTCGGTGTAATCCCCCATGAACTCCTTAAGCTTTTCTCTCACACTCTCTCTCAACTTGATGACTGAATTGCCCGTCAGATTAACCCTAAATGTCCTATCATCGACTCGATCCACGCTCCCCATCGCCACGAAACCCTAATTTCGGCCCTCACAAACAAACCCTACCGCCCCAATGCTTCGGAAACCTGTACCAATCGCAAAACCCTAGCTCGGGTTTATAAATATCCCCAGAGCCGATCAAACCCCGTCCCCCGCCGGAACCAGGGGTATAACTGTAGGGGATTTTCCCGGGAAAGTGACGGAAAACGATTTCCTAGGCAATTGGGCAGGTAGGGTTTCGTGGAAAAGTTTCCCGAGAGAGAATTAACGGGGAGAAAAAAAATGAAATCTTTGATGTAAGAGAGAAAGAGAGCGAGAGGGTTTTGGTACGAAAGCGAAACGTCAACTGTGAGAAGTAATATCTCGCAAATTAACACTTTTCTACTGAGACTGGAACGCTGTACTTTCTTTCTGTTTGGGATAATTCGTATTTGATATCGTCGCTCTTATTTTATTATTTCTTTTTGGCTTATATTTTGGTAGCTCTTGGTGCTTTATATAGAATCTCATCTTATTATTTACGCTTTATTTTATCTCACTTTATTCTATGGACTAATTTTTTTTTTTTTATAGGTGATATTATTCACACATTAATTTTTATCTATCAAATACATGTATCAATCTTAGACAGTCGGATCGGATAAATTTAAAAAGATTAATAAAAAAAAGTTAACAAAGGTGTGTGAAATGTAAAAATAAGGATGTAAATACCGCTACCCTTCTTTATTATGTTTCACTTGACCTCATTTTGTCAACATTGTTGAGAGAAGCGTTTTAGTTCAATGATGTGTTACAGGCTCTATGGTCTTTTCAATGGTAAATATAACAATATGTTAAAAGTAATGTGATTTTATTGCTATATTATGGGCGCATTGTGGCCATCGTTCGACTCCCTTCCAACATGCCCTTCCATGAGTAAAACTCAACCAACTCTTGCCCCCATCAAAGTTGCAATGGTGACATATCATGCACGCCAGTCTATGTAGGTAGCTCATTTAATACCATAATAGTAAAGTAGGTGAGCTCAAGACTTTTTGGGCTCACTAAGAGCAATTCCACCCCTAAAGATTTTGTGCCAGCACCCCGCTCAGTTATCCACTCAAGTAAACAGTAATAGACTCAAGTGTACAGTAATAGACTAAAGCATCTCCGTCCCTAAACAAATAGCCTAGTCAATTTTATTAAAATATTATTATTTTTTATTATAAAATAATAATTTAACAGAATGAAGGGATATAAAACTCCCCCACCGCTCCCCTCCCCTGTCTCTGCCCAGAAGCTCCCCCACCACTCCCCTCCAATGTGCAGACGAAAGAAACCCATTAGCAAGATGAAGGGATATGGGAAGAACACAGTGGAAGGGATCTCTCTCTCTCTCTCTCTCTCTAAACCTCAGCCTCAAGGAGGGCGTCGAAGGCCCCCAAACCCCCATCCCCATCGCCCATTGCTCCGCCTGCAAATTGGCCTTCTTCAACCTCAACCTCTAGGAGCTCTGCACCAAGATCTCTCTGCGACGTGTTGATCGTGCGGGAGGTTGATGGCCCGGCTGACGTCAGATGGCCCGGCATGTGGGTCTGTCGATTTTAGGGCGGTCTCTTGCCTGGCTTGGGTTGGGTGCCAGTCAAAATGCTAGGCTGGAGTGGATAGCCTGGGTGCCGGGCTGGTTTTTTGGCTGGGTGCTGGCTTATCAGTTCCCCGGTGGAACTGCTCTAAGGGCTTATATAAGGGGGGTAAGTGCCTTGTATACGGGGGTCAAACGATTGATAGGGAAAATAATTTAGATTATAGTCAAGCGCGTCTTGTAATCATTTGATCAATACATTCCCAGTACCACAATGAATGTAGTCCAGTTTTGATGGATGAACCATTTAAATCTTGAGTCCATTATTTCATATCTTTAAACATGATCCCATCAAGAGCTAATTGTTCTAGTTTGTTAACCTGCAAATTTTAAGCGTTAACAGTTGGACCTATATCAGACATCTTGAACCCTGGTTGGTCATAGACCATGTGGAGGCACACGATCGGACCTAAGTACTCGCTAATCGACAGTCATAATTTAACCCATCTATATTTATTTTGATAGAAAGAAAGTGAGAGAATTAACAGCAACACCAACTATGGGATACCAAATAGGGTTGAAGAACTCTAATACCTTTCTTTTGGATCAAAATACTCTTAAGACAGTAAAATGCTAGGATGACCACATTTTGAAAATTCGATCTAAGTCGTCTTTTTAATAGAAGTAAGACCAAATTATATTATGGACCCTACATCTTTAGAAGAATAATTTAAATGTGATCTATAATACGTGGTCTTCTTAGCATTACTCATCTAAGACCTATTATTCAAGTTGGAAAGGGATCCTATCCGAATCCCTTCCACCCAATCCTCCTCATCAATTAATATGAATCATTGAAATTTGATTCAACGACTACAATTAGAAATCCACCTTAAAAATTATAATAACTTTAACCGATCAAATTTCAAGAATCAGAAAGAATCTCTTCCTCTTCAAGTTAAGCAAGGCAAGTACTGTACGAAAATTGTTCCTTGGTGAATGGGAAAGCTAGAGGGGGATGGCAAAAATCATATTTGCGAACTGACAAATTACTGCGCGGTGCACGAAACATCGAGGGAAAAAAAAAACAAATGAAAAACAAAACAAGGCCGAGCACGTAACTTACTTCCACAATTCAGCTCTAGGACACAAAGGATATTCTGCAACCGAGTCTACGTATAGTCCGTGAATTCGAGAGTTCGAGCGGTCGGATACTTCTAATTGGAATAAAATCCAATTTTCTGACTGTTTTCCCCTCCACCAATCAAAGCTACAAACGGGGGTTGACTCGCGACACCTGGAAAACACTTGATCCTCATATGGGTCGCCTCCACGCTCCCTCGCCGCCATATAAAGTCGCAGCTGGAACATTCGGCTTCGACTTCTCCTCCTCTGACACCTCTTTCTCGCTCCTGTTCGCCTTAGGGTTCGTCTCTCTCTCTCTCTCTCTCTCATCACATATAGTGTTTTGATTATCTAAATTTTGATTATTTGATTATTGAAGGGGAGCGGAGCTAAGCAGCTTATGTATGTGATGAAAGATGTGAATTTTCAAATGAAAAATAATATTTTGATGGTGGGTTTTCGGTTCTGATGGGAAAATAGACCTTAATTCTAGGTTTAAGGATGTTTAGAATAGTAAATTAAGGTTCTTGTTCTGATTTTAATGAATGGTATTCGGCGTTTGAAGCTTGATGAGTTGGTTTAATTACTTGTGTGTTTTGTCATTAGCAAATGGTTTTGATTAGCTTGAAGAGTAGGTTTACTGGTAGCATGATTAGTATGTTTTATGTGTTAATGTAAATCTGCACAAGAAAGCCATGAGTTATTCCACCACCAAGAATTTGAATTCTTCGTAAATATCCGTTTACTGTTTTTATTTTTCTTTAAAAATTTAAACAGAGGAGAAGCTGAGAGCTAGGAACAAGCATGTAAAGGCCTAGTTGAGAAAAGTTGAGGTTCCACCCAAAAACCAATTGGCAATAGTGGGAGATAGCACGCTACGTTGCACATTTGTGATTTCAAACTTTGGAGTGGCTAGTTGGCAATAGGGGAAGTGATGTTCCGATGTGGAGCATTTCTTCACTCACACTAGTAAGAGTTATGGTCTGTCTGGTATGCTAATTGGTTGAATGCTTTGGAGTTATTGTATGATTTGGATTCAGATTGGCTCATTATTATCAAGCTCTTTAGCGTTTGAGAAGAGGGGTATTTGTTTCAATTATGGTTATAAGTTGCTTTGAAAATCAGTAGGTTCATAGAGTTTATATGAAGACCCTAGTATCTTATTCGGTTGTTGAATTCCCCCTTCACTAGGTAGTTTTTAACTCTCAATGACTGAGAGTATAGATTTTTTATGGGAAGATCTTCACGGCTTAAGTAAGGCTTAGGTGTCCAAATGTTAGCGTCAAGTAGCGCTGTTGATTGGGGCCTTCGGTAGGTCACTATTGTCTCCCCCAATGTTGAGCTAAACATATGCAGTTGATGTTTATTTTACGGTGTTTTATTTTTATTACAAGAGAAATGCAGCTGAAGTGTGCATATTGTTATTATACTGATTGTCTACTTCACATCGAGGTTTTAGCCAATGCATGTTGTATTGAATGCCCATAAACAGACATAACCTAATGAGGCTGAATAAGCATAAGGACTCGGAAAAAGCTAATGTCTGATATTGTTTGCAGTAATGACAATCCTCAAACAAAATGACTAGAGTGTGAACTTCATTCCTTCATTTTTATGGGGTTATCCCTGTTTAATGATTACCAAAGCTTTTGCCGTATAAGGAAGTGAACTTATTTTCTTTTACCTAAATCCTATGCCTTCCAAGATTTATCATCTTTCATTCCCCCGTCTTTGTCTCCGTCTCTATCTATCTCCCTCTAGAAGTAGTGTCTCCCTCCCTGAGTACAAGGTGAAGGGTAAATAAGTACGGATGGGCTCAATACTTGCTTGGTGCCTGGTTTAATTTACTAGGAAAACAAAATAAGAGGAAGCTAATACTCTGTGAACCTAGGGTTTAAGATTAATACTTTTGTTGTGTTGCATTCTCTAATATTAAGGTTTGCTGTCATGACAGATGAAATAGACATTTAGCTTTCTCAAGGCACATTCACAAATCATGCGCTTTGCTGTTTTTCAGTTGAACTGATTGTACACTTGAAAGAAAAAGTGACCTTTTTTTCTTCTCCCTATCATTTAATTTATATGTTTAGTTGATTGCACATTCACATTCACAATTATATTTTTATTTGATGTTTAGGCTTCAGAACTAGAATTGTAATTAGAGCTTCAATACTTATCTCAACGGTATCCAACTTATTGTCACGCATGAACCTTACTTCTGTGCACTGTGACTAATTGAAAGTCCCAACTGCAGTAAGCTAGAAGGTTATGAACTATAAAATGATTGCAAATGTTAGATGAAGGCAGCAAAACAGGAGTGGGAAAAAAAATAAGGCAAAAAGAAAGCAAAGGAGAAAATGACCAGTAGCTGGAACATAAGACATTTTGTTGTGTCATCCGAGGTTGTTTATTAGATGTTGGTGATGGTGGTTGTGAGGTTAGTCGTTATCAAGCGTGAAATGAAGAAGGGGTGGGTTTTGCTTATGAAATGAACTAAAATGTTGAAATATATTCTGTGGGTCTTGGCTTCATGTGAATGGTGTAGATTTCAGGTCATGTATATTTTTATACTTGTACTGATAGCTGTAGTAATGGTGTTCTCTACTTTCTGCTTCCCCCTTATAGAACAGATTGTCTCATAAAACAATCAATTGTCTATCATCAGTGTGGTTCACTGTCATTTGGGACGGCACCAGAAGTGTGTATGCACGCTTATTTGGGATCGTCCTCACTTTCCTTTGTATGTGTATTAAATATTGGGAATTGCTGCTATGGTTCCGTGTAACTCATTTTTCTTGGTTTTTTTTTTTTTTGGTCATCTTAGTGCTGCTATAGTTTTATTGTTTTTCCCTCTTTTTTTTTTTATGCCAGGAAAGTATCCCTTTAGGAGTAAAAGGCCTTGAAGCCAACTGTGAAATCAAAAGAATCAAAACTAAACTTATGTGCTTCTGTTTCCAAGTGAAACCTTAATTAGTTATATTCCCTATGTAATTATTTTTATTATTCTTTAAACCGAGGAAACAAGCGTGAATAACTAAGTGTGAGTATTCATTCAGAGCCATCCTCAACTCTCACAGGCTGAGTTGAGATCTTAGGATCATGTTATGGTGGCAGTGCCTTGGTTAAAGTATTGGTCAAAGAGTCATTTCCCGTTAATATGGTCCTTCTGATTGGCGATCTAACAATCCATCTTTCTTGTGCTAAAGATTCAAACAGCTATGCTGATTTTAATTTAACGAGTTGATGGTGGAGTCGGCTTGTTTATATTGTTGTAATTGCTTGGCTGTGTAGTATTGTAGATGTCTGGTAGGGGGAGATTTCTACCTAGAGCTGTGTTATTGTATAATTTTGAAGGACTTAGTGAATTACAATGCTGGAAATTGTAAGAAAATGGAGCACAACGAGACAGGATGCCAAGCTTCTCCTGAAGCTCCCAAGCTTTGTGCCAACAACTGCGGATTCTTTGGAAGTCCAGCAACCATGAATTTGTGTTCCAAGTGCCACAAGGACTTGGTGTTGAAGCAAGAACAAGCCAAAGTCGTTGCGGCATCCATTGGTTGTGTGGTGAATGGCAGTCCCACTGAAAGTGGCAAGGGGCCTGTTGCTACTGCTGCTGTAGATGTACAAGCTGGTTCTGCAGATGTGATGCTTATCTCAACACAGGCTTCCTCTACGTCGTTGAACATTAAGAGTGAGGAGAAGGTGAAAGAGACTCCTACGAGGTGCGGCACATGCAGGAAACGTGTTGGTCTAACGGGGTTCAGTTGCCGTTGTGGAGATCTCTTTTGTGCAGTTCATCGGTACTCTGATAAACACAACTGCCCCTATGATTACCGGACTGCTGCTCAGGATGCAATAGCCAAAGCCAACCCGGTTGTCAAGGCAGAAAAGCTGGATAAAATCTGATAGAATCTTGGACTAACGAGGGTTTAATCCTTTTATCTATTGCACACATGCTCTCATTTCTACCCATGTGGCTTCTGCTTCTGTTTAAGTTGATCTGTGTTGTGTTAGGTCTCTTGTGTGATAGATGGTTGGAAGCTGTTGTGGGCATTTTCAAATGCCAGGAACGATTGTGTGTAATAATCCCAGCCGTTCGTGACGGCCGTGATGCCCTTACTTGGCTTTGCTATGGATGGTGTTTTGGAACTTGTTTATTCTGCTGCTTGGGGATTTAATTTATCAGATATAGGAAGGTGCAAGTGTAGCATGCTCACGTAATGCACGTTAATGCTTCGCGGGTTTTACCCATCTGCTACTGGGGGAGGGGGAATCGGCATTGAAGTTGGCACCTCAAGTGCAAGGATGAATGCGTTTTGACTAAAATTGAGCTACAAGTTCCTTGCGGAATAGAAGCATTTTTAACTTATAAGTTGGGACCAACTTCAGAGTTTCATGCTTTATAATGAAGTATTAATATTATCATCATCAATTCAAGCAAACCTTTGTGCAAGCCTGAGTACATATGATAATCAATTTATTTACCACATAAAGTAATTTGTTTACACCAAGGTAATCAATTGGTTTCTATTCCGATTCAACACCATTCTCATCCCGATTCTAGACAATTTAGTAAAAACCTTTATAGGAATCTGATTCTAATTCTTTCTCAATCCAACTTCTCCTCAATTGAGTTCTCCTCATTTTGATTATGGATTAATAAACAAGCCATCACTGGTTTTGGAGAAGGGGATAAGTTATGAGGCGTGGAAATTGTGTTTGTTTTGATGCCTCTTGAAGCAAATAGTTTGCCAGTATCTGGTTGGAATCATATGGCCATGTGACATACAAGAGAAGAAAAAAATGTGAGGTTGCTTGGTTTTATTGTCCATTTCAAGTAGTAAGAGATTTATAATTTTCATAGATGATGGAGAATAACGGAGACAAGAAATAATAGCACTGCAAAAAATTGACTGAAGAAACTGGTTGATAGAGTTGGCATATATCAGCAGTTGTGACTTGGGAGACAAGTCTACTGAGCTCAAAAATATGTATTTAGATTTCTATTTTCCATGGGATACAACAATTTAATCCGTCGAAGGTAGTTCAAGCTCCAAGGGACCCCAATTCCTGAATTAGAGAAGTTAAATCTGAGAAAGACGAACCACCTTCTTCAACAGCCCTCTTCGCCATCTCTCTAAGCACCCTGGCTCTGCCTCTCATTCCCTCTGCTTCTTCACTCACCATCACTTGATTTACAGCCTTTTCTATGGCTTCCCTCTTCACACTGGCTTCCGTCATCACATCCAGAAATGTACCCCATTGTTTAGCACCAACAGCAACCCCAGTTTTCAGTACCACGGTCACCAACTTCTCATTGTAAAACTGCTCAGCCGACACGGGCCATGTGATCATTGGCACCCCAGCAGACGCTCCTTCAAGGATAGAGTTCCACCCGCAGTGAGTCACAAAGGCTCCGATTGCTTCGTGCTCAAGGATCGGCACTTGCGGAGCCCAACCTCTTATAATTAGTCCTTTACCTTCCATTCTCTCCTCAAACCCTTCGGGGAGCCACTCTTCTTTATCATTCTTTTCTCTCTTCACAACCCAAATGAATTCCTGCCCAGAAGCCTCAAGCCCCGCTGCAATTTCTTGGAGCTGAGAGTCAATGAAATTGGTTATACTTCCGAAACATATGTAAACAACTGAATTGGGTTTCTTAGAACTAAGCCAATTCAAGCACTCGTGCCGATCAAGGGAGGCTTCGTCATCTGCTGCCTTATTTACTGACGAAACCGGGCCTATATGCCATGCCTTCCTCCCAAACACTGTCCTGTAATGGTCTGCAAAAGCCGGTTCAAGTTCATAAAAGCTGTTAACAATGAACCCATAGCTCTTTTCCTCGCTCTCCATCGCCTCTTTAAACAACTTGGTGAATTCAGCACTTTGCTTGGGAAAATTCGGGATTTGGCTTCTTGTCAGCTTGATCTCAACTGGAAAATTAGGAATAGTAAAAACTTCTGAATCAGATGACAGCTTCGCGTGAGGCTCATACAACGCCACACTATGAAAAGCACACAAAGCGAAAAAACCGAGGCCTTGAAATATGATCCTTGGAATACCAAACTTGGCAGCAACATCTGTTGCCCAAGGTAAGAAATTGTCTGCAACAAGGCAATGAGGGCGATGTTCGTCTAAAAGCTGCTCAATTTGTGGTTGAAGAAGGAAGGTGGCTCTGATGAACTTTTCGTTCATCTCCCTGGTGGTAACTAAGTTAGCATTTTCACATCCTTGAGGCAACCCTACTTCCTCAGTTGGGAACTTGATGACAAGAATGTCAACATCAAATCCCAATTTCTTGCTGCTTTGGATTGCCTTGGAAAAGAGAGGAGCATTGAGAGGGGTGGTTATTAGCGTGGATTTTACACCACGAGAAGCAAATAGTTTGGCCATGTCTATAAGGGGTATGAAGTGGCCTTGAATCATATATGGGAAGAAGAAAATGTGAAGCTGCTTATGGGGTTTAGTTTCCATGGGGACTTGACAGAATGCACAAAGGAGCTCCAACCCCAATAATGGATGGTGATGCTTGAAGAGGGAGTTGATACTTTTGAGACTTGGGATTTAACGATTTGTTTCTTTTTAAAATATTCATGTTCTGCCAAGTGGCAAAGACTAAAATGGTTTTGTTATGTCATTGCATACGTAGATCATTTTGTCCACATTAAAGTTTGAATTCCATGCCAAGATAGTTGGTGATAAGATCTACTAAAGGTTTGTATCTCTGGTGATTGAATTCTTAAACGACGGGCATGAAAATCGACTAACAATAAACAAATAAAACAAGCCTTAGTCCTATATTTGATAAAGTCGAATGGATATAGAATTGTAAATGAGTCGACTCAAACCGAATAGTACCACTATGTTTAAGTTTAACTTGCTTCTTATACGTGCCAAGCTCGAACGAGTTCAAAAAAAGTTCAAATGCAATAAAGAACTCAAGCTGTTTCAAACTATTTATTATAATATGTTGATATTATCTTTCTTTTAAATAAAATTTTCTTGATAGTACATTTTAATAATAGAATATAGAAAACATAAACATTGTAATAATCTTTTTCCAAACATGCCGCTTTAAGAGCAACTCCAGCCCAAGCACATGGGCTTGTCCAATGTGGGAAAAATAGGCTGGCACCCCTTAAAACCCCTCTAGCCGATCCAATTAAACTGGCACCCAGCCCAAGCCAGCTTTGAGGCCGACCCAAAGCGTGTTGAGCAATGTGTTGAGCTATGTGACATTATGCTGACGTCAGCCAGCCGTTATGCCTTTACTTGGCTTTGCTATGGATGGTGTTTTGGGCCTTGTTTATTTTGCTGCACGGGGAATTAATTTATCAGATATAGGAAGGTGCAAATGTATCGTGCTCAAGTAATGAACGTTAATGCTCCGTGGGTTTTACCCATCTGCTATTGGGCGAGGGGGAATTGGCATCGAACTTGGCACCTCAAGGTGCAAGGGTGAATGCGGTTTAACTAAAATTGAACTACAAATTCCTTGCAAAATAGAAGCATTTTTAACTTATAATTTGGGACCTCGATGTGCAAGGGTAAATGCGTTTAAACTAAAATTGAGTTACAACTTCAATTTAGTAAAAACCTTCTGATTTTAATTCTTTCTGAATCCAACTTCTCCTCAATTGAATTCTCCTCATTTTGATTGTAGATTAATAAACGAGCCATCATTTGTTTTGGAGAAGGGGATAAGTTGAGAGGAGTGGAAATTATGGTTGTTTTGATGCCTCTTGAAGCAAATAGTTTGCCCATATCTATGGTTGGTATCATATGGCCATGTGACATACAAGGGAAGAAAAAAATGTGAGGTTGGTTGGTTTTATGTCCATTTCAAGTAGTAAGAGATTTGTAATTTGCTTAGAAGATGGAGAATAACGGAGATGAGAAATAATAGCACTGCAAAAGATTGACTGAAGAAACTGGTTGATAGAGTTGGTATATATCAGTAGTTGTGACTTGGGAGACAAGTCTACTGAGCTTAAAAATATGTATTTAGATTCCTATTTTCCATGGGATACAACAATTTAGTCCGTCGAAGGAAGTTCATGCTACAAGGGACCCCATTTCCTGAATTAGAGAAGTTAAATCTGAGAAAGACGAACCACCTTCTTCAACAGCCCTCATTGCCATTTCTCTAAGCACCCTGGCTCTGCCTCTCATTCCCTCTGCTTCTTCACTCGCCATTACTTGATTTACAGCCTTTTCTATGGCTTCCCTCTTCACACTGGCTTCCTTCTTCACATCCAGAAATGTACCCGTACCCCATTGTTTAGCACCAACAGCAACCCCAGTTTTCAGTACCTCAGTCACCAACTTCTCATTGTAAAACTGCTCAGCCGACACGGGCCATGTGATCATTGGCACCCCAGCAGACGCTCCTTCAAGGATAGAGTTCCACCCGCAGTGAGTCACAAAGGCTCCGATTGCTTGGTGCTCAAGGATCGGCACTTGCGGAGCCCAACCTCTTATAATTAGTCCTTTACCTTCCATTCTCTTCTCAAACCCTTCGGGGAGCCACTCTTCTTTATCATTCTTTTCTCTCTTCACAACCCAAATGAACTCCTGCCCAGAAGCCTCAAGCCCCGCTGCAATTTCTAGGAGCTGAGAGTCGATGAAATTGGCTATACTTCCGAAACATATGTAAACAACTGAATTGGGTTTCTTAGAACTAAGCCAATTCAAGCACTCGTGCTGATCAAGGGAGGATTCGTCATGTGCTGCCTTATTGGCTGACGAAACCGGGCCTATATGCCATGCCTTCCTCCCAAACACTGTCCTGTAATGGTCGGCAAAAGCCGGTTCAAGTTCATAAAAGCTGTTAACAATGAACCCATAGCTCTTTTCCCCGCTCTCCCTCGACTCCTTAAGCAACTTGGTGATTTCAGCACTTTGCTTGGGAACATTCGGCATTTGGCTTCTTGTCAGCTTGATCTCAACTGGAAAATTAGGAATAGTAAAAGCTTCTGAATCAGATGACAGCTTCGCGTGAGGCTCATACAACGCCACACTACGAGAAGCACACAAGGCGAAAAAACCCGTGCCATGAAATATGATCCTGGGAATACCAAACTTGGCAGCAACATCCGTTGCCCAAGGAAAGAACGTGTCTGCAACAAGGCAATGAGGGCGGTGTTTGTCTAAAATCTGCTCAATTTGTGGTTGAAGAAGGAAGGTGGCTTTGATGAACTTTTCGTTCATCTCCAAGGTGGTAACTAAGTTAGCATTTTCACATCCTTGAGGCAACCCTACTTCCTCAGTTGGGAACTTGATGACAAGAATGTCAACATCAATGCCCAATTTCTTGCTGCTTTGGATTGCCTTGGAAAAGAGAGGTGCATTGAGAGGGGTGGCTATTAGGGTGGATTTTACACCACGAGAAGCAAATAGTCTGGCAATGTTTATAAGGGGTATGAAGTGGCCTTGAACCATATATGGGAAGAAGAAAATGTGAAGCTGCTTATGGGATTTAGTTTCCATGAGGACTTGACAGAATGCACAAAGCAGCTCCAACCTCCAATAATGGATGGTGATGATTGATGAAGAGAGTGGATACCAACCAGTGAGCTGAAAGATTCAATATATTACTTTGAGACTAGGGATTGTTCCTTTTTTAAAATTTATCTTCTGCCAAGTGGCAAAGACTAAAATGGCTTTGTTATGTCATTGCTTACGTAGATCATTTTGACCAAGATATTCGGTGATTAAGATTTATTATGTTATGTCATTGCTTACGTAGATCATTTTGACCAAGATATTCGGTGATTAAGATTTATTAGGCTTCGTTTGTCAGCTCAAACTGTACTAATTATTTCAGTTGGATATGATAAATAGTCATCAGATAGTACTAACTAAATTAGTCAAACATTAAGTGTAATATCAGCCTAAAGAATGATTATTTAATACTGACTTTGGAATTGTACCGGATAAATCGTATTGTTGTTATTTTTTGGATCCATTAGATTTTACCCCTTGCAATTCACAATCCTAAGACTAAAACCCTTGTATCTATAAACATCTAATATAAACCCAAATTTAAAATGTGTAGCTCAATTGAAAAACAATTGACCTAGTAATACAATAGTATTACACCTATGCCACTCATCCTCAGCATGCGTTTCAGAATACAACCCCAGGCGTTTCAGAATATCATCCCATGACCGTTTCAAATCCAGCCGTTTTGCAGAAAACCATCCATAACAACATCATTGATTTCAATAATTACCACGTTTATGGGGAGAGATTGACAATCAGAAAATTGAACCGTTTTTGAGATTTGAATCACACCATTCAACTTAAATGGAGATACTTTCAAACAACATGGTGTGTAGTGGGTCTTCAATGAATCCGATCATAATCTGTGCATTTAAACAGGTGATTATGATACGTTTTTACCTATTTATTTTATGAAAATCTGTATGGATTTCATAGTATTTAATCAACATTGTTTCGTAGGTACATTATATACCGTTGGATAATGATAAAAATTTGGAGGAAGTAATCTATTCCAAATCGTTCGTTCATATTCGACCAGAATTTCACTTGTAAGTATACTATATTTTTTGGTATGACTCGATTGTGTTGTTTACACTCGATTGTGTTGATTATGATACGTTTTTACCTATATTGTGCGCTCATAATGTGTTTGAGGAAAGTCCTGAATGAATTTTATATGCCATGTTGGTAAATTGGCATAGTCTCATTCAATTTAACTACTCTTTTGATTGTAACATGGAATATATCTTGTAGGTACATTCATTGTCTAACCTGTTTTGGCTTTGTTTTGTCTTTTTCATTGTAGATTTGGGAATGGAAATCAACAGGAAACAGTTTGGAAAAATGCAATACCGAGCTGCTTTTGGTCCATTTTTGAATGTTTTTAATGTTTTGAAATTGAAAATTCAGGAAGAACATCGAGACATTATAAAAGGAACACCATTTTGGGGTCTTTTCAAAGCTTATGATGGAGGGTTGGTTAGCGATGATATGTGTAGGAAGACTTATGTAGATATAATCAGAATAATTAATTGTTTCAATGCTGGGACGTCTGAATTCAAATTTGGTGATAGGTGTGAAAAGTTAACAGGGTTTGAAGTTGAGGAGTTGCTTGGATTACCTAACTTTGGTCGGGATATAAATCTTAATAAACGTTGTTCAAAGTCTGAGGAAGGTTTCATTAAAAGAAATTTTAAAACAGTTGACAGAGTTACAAGGCAAAATATTGAATCTGCTATGATTACAATAGTAACAGGGAAAACACAACAGAATCGTGAGGATTTTGTATGCCTAATGTGTTTGCATCTTTGTATAACATTATTATTTTGTAATAGTGGTAGTACCATCTCTTGGAACATAGCTTCCCGTTGTCAAGATGTTCAAACAATGGCGGGCTACAATTGGGCAAAAGCAACATCGGATTGTTTGCAAAAACAACTGGTCAAGAATTGCGGGAAACCATCACATGTATCTGGATGTGTTGTGCTGTTGCCGGTATGTATTGTACACTAATCGGGTGTGTTAATTTATAATTCATTCTTTATGCTTTGTAATTCGATGACCAGTTTATGTTTGTGTGTCAATAGTTTTGGTTTTGTGAGATAAGTTCATTGGTTGAACCTGTAAAAGGAAGAATGGATTTCGCACCCAAATTTGTGAAGTGGGATCTGCAGGTACTGCATGAGGCCATGTCAGCTATTGAAATTGATAGGCTACAGGTACGTTAAAATTGAACTTAACTTTTTTCTTTTTTTTTTAATTTAATTTTTTTTTTAATGCATGTTTGGTGATTTTGATATAAATGTTTTGACGATGGTTATCATTTTGCCTATTTTAGATTAGCGATGCATCAGAATTGCACATGAATAGAAGTTTGAGATGTGAATCTCACGTTATGGTGTCCCCACATAGAGATTTATGTCAAAAGGTTAATGTATCCAAATAACTGCTGATCTATATATCCCTTTTTTGGCATCAATTTGAAGGCAATATAATTGGAAAAGGATTCGTAGAAATAAATGTGTAGGCAAAATAAATAATTTCAATATACACCGGAAAAAAAAGAAAAAAAAAATTTATGCTGCACCCATATTAGATTCAGTATTGTCATCCTTATGTATTGAGTACTGCGGGCCCTTTTTTTTTTTTTTTTGTTTTGTTTTGTTTTTTTTTCTATGTTACGTACTGCACAATTTACCTACCGAATTACACTCCTGGTGTAGATGCAAATTATTTGTATATACCAAACATATGTACTAATGTATGGATATTAATCATTCAATAATAAAAGTAACATGAACTTTGATGCATAACACTAAAAAAAATTTATGCGCACTCATACTAAAACTTGATTTTAACATATGTAACAAAAAAAATGGAAAAATAATTTGCCTATAAGTTGAACAAATGTTTCTTGATGCAAACTATATGATATGGGTGTAGCATATTTTTTTTTCTGTATATATTGAAATTATTTATTTTGCCTACAAATTTATTTTTGCCAATCCTTTTCCAATAATATTGCCTTCAAATTGACGCTGAATTATTTATTTTGCCTACTTTCTTGTTGGAAACTAAGATAATAATTGGAATACAATTTATTTACCGTTGCCAAACTCCATATAAGGAGTGTTTTGAAATATACGTAAGAGATGTATCAAATCTGTAATTTACCTTTAAGTCCATCATTCACATCCACGTATTATTATATTTGGATTTTCTTTTGGTCGAAAAATGTATTATTATATGTGTTTGGTATATATACAAATAATTTGCATCCTTGTTAAGACGGATATCACCAGCACTTTATTGAATTTTGAATGTCTATATTTTGTATTATGTAAAACCAAGTACAAGGGGGAAGCTCATATAAATGAGCGGAAGAAAAACAGAAGCCGAAAGAAAGGGAGGACAAGCAGAAAACATGGAGCATAAAACATGGAAAAGTAAAGGTGAGGAAAACATGGAGCATAAAACATGGAAAAGTAAAGGTGAGGAAAACATGGAAAAGTAAAGGTCACCACTTTCTTCCAATACTCCCCCTCAAGCTGGATCAAAGGGATTAATTGATCCAAGCTTGAACAAAAGACGTTGAAAATCAGCAGAGGGTAATCCTTTTGTGAAAATATCCGCAAGTTGATCATGACTGCGCGTGTAGTGAGTGTCGATCACCTTGGACTGAACTTGATTTCTGACGTAGTGACAATCAACTTCAATATGTTTAGTTTGCTCATGGAATACAGGATTCGATGCAATGTGCATCGCGGCCTGATTATCACAGTGTAGGGACATGGGTTGTTGATGAGGAAAACCTAAAGTCAACAGAAGGCTTTTGAGCCAAATAAGTTCACAAGCAGTGGACGTCATAGCACGATAATCTGCCTCTGCACTAGAGCGTGCAACAACACTTTGTTTCTTGCTTTTCCAGGTAACTAGGTTGCCTCCCACAAACGTACAAAACCCAGTGGTAGACTTGCGATCGAGAGAATTGCCTGCCCAGTTAGCATCGGTATAGCCTGAGATCTGAGTGTGACTATTGTTGCGCATAAGAATTCCTCTACCAATGGAACCCTTAAGATAACGTAGCACACGATGAACAATCTTCAAATGATCCATGCTTGGAGAGTGCATAAACTGGCTAACAATGCTGACAGCATATGATATATCAGGACGTGTGATAGTCAGATAAATGAGTTTGCCAACCATTCTTTGATAGTAACTTAAATTGGGAACTGGATCATCGTGAGTTTTTAGCTTCAAGTTGCTATCCAAGGGGGTACGAGCAGGCTTGCAATCTGTCATTTTTGCTTCGTGAAGAAGATCCATGACATACTTGCGTTGGTTGAGGAAGAAACCCTTGTGAGAGTGTGCCATCTCGATGCCCAGAAAGTATTTGAGAGTGCCAAGATCCTTGATAGCAAACTTGTTGTTGAGATACTGTTTAAGAGCAATAATCTCTGACATATTATCACCTGTCACAATTAGATCATCAACATAAATGAGCACAACTAGTTTACCCACTAAGCTGGAACGAACAAATAGGGAAGAATTCGCAATACTTCGACAAAAACCAACCCTTTCCAGAACATGACTGAGCTTGGCATACCTTGCACGTGGACTTTGCTTGAGACCATAAATGGATTTATGGAGTTTGCACACCATTTCTGGATTGTTTGATTGAGGATGACCTGGGGGTAGCTTCATGTAAACCTCTTCTTCAAGTTCACCATGCAGGAAAGCATTTTTAACATCCATTTGAAAGAGAGGCCATGCATTGTTAATTGCAACCGACAACAATACTCTAACAGTGTTCATTTTTGCCACCGGAGCAAATGTCTCTTTATAATCGACGCCATAGGTTTGTGTAAAACCTCGAGCAACCAAGCGAGCCTTATTCCTTTCGATTGTGCCATCTGAATGAAACTTAGTTTTGTACACCCAACGACTCCCCACTGCCTTCTTTCCTTTTGGAAGTTTCACTATAGTCCATGTGTTATTTTCATGGAGGGCTTGAAGCTCCTCTGCCATAGCATTTCTCCACTCACTGTGAAGATTGGCTTCTTGAAAACTTTGAGGTTCTCGAGCTTCATTAATGGCACTTAGGAATGTAGCAAAAGAAGATGAGACTTTGCTATAATCAATAACATCAGTCACGGGATACCTGGCAGTGTAGGTCACATAATCATGCAACTTGGATGGAAGTTTCCTCTCTCGTGCAGGATTGCGACGAATTGTAGGAGATTGAACTACAAGTATTTGAACAACATCATGGTTGGAAAGATCACTAGAGGGTGCAGTGTGAATCTCTGATGAGGAAGGGTTTTCATCTTCAAGATGTTCCACCGAGTGAAGGTTAACATCATCCGGCACATGATCACTAGGAGTGCATGTTGCATCTTCTCCGTTTGGATATGGAAAAGGAAATAAGTCCATCAAATGCTCCCCCTGTCTAGAGTAATCCAGTGATTGTGAGAAGTAAGGAACATGTTCTTCAAATTTAACATCCCTTGAAACAACCATTTTTCTAGTTGTTGAATTATAGCACTTGTAACCTTTTGGGTAGATGAATAACCTAGAAAGACACATTTGGCAGCCCTTGGGTCTAGCTTGTCACGATTTTGAGTTTGAATGTGAACAAAGCATGTACACCCAAAGACTCTCAAATGGGAAAAGTTGATCTTTCTATTTTTCAAGACCTCATAAGGTGATTTAAAATTCAACACTTTACTAGGCAATCTATTGATGAGATATGCCGCAGTAAGGACTCCTTGAGACCAAAACTTTTTAGGCACATTCATGTGAAACATAAGAGCTCTAGTCTTCTCAAGTAGATCTCTATTCTTCCTCTCGGCCACCCCATTTTGTTGAGGTGTTCCAACACAGCTTGTTTGGTGTAATATACCATGTGTGCTCAAGTAGTGTGACATGTTATGAGACATATATTCTGTGCCGTTATCTGATCGTAAAATATGAATTTTAGAAGCAAATTGGGTGGCCACAAGTCTATGAAAATCTTGAAAAACTTCCATCACTTCACTTTTAAATTTCAAAAGATACAACCAAGTAATCCTTGTGAAATCATCCACAAAAGTTACAAAATATTTGTATCCATCAAAAGACTCTATAGTTGGTCCCCAAACATCGGAATGCACAATTTCAAAAGGGTTACTAGCCCTAGACAAAGAGGAAGTAAATGGTAATCTAGTAAACTTAGAAAAATGACAAACATCACAAGGACTTGTAACTTTGCACATATTTGGGAACAAGGTGGATAGAACTTTTTCAGAAGGATGTGCTAGGCATTGGTGCCAAAGTTGTTGTTCTTGAGCTAAGCTTGAAGTGACTTGAAAAACCTTGGGAACTTGAATATGCTTGGAAAGATAGTAGAGACCATTTAAGAAAAATCCTTCACCAATCGTCTTCTTGGTGACTACATCCTGAAAGATCACATTTTTGGGAGAGAAAATGGCAAGACAATTTAATGAGTTTGTGATCTTGCTAACAGATAAAAGTTGAAAAGGGAATGAGGGAACATAAAGAGCCTCAGACTCGACATCACTTGAGATCAAATGTATTTTTCCTTTTCCCACAACCATAGCATTTTTTCCATTGGCAACTGACACTTGGGATGGAATAGAAAATTTTTCAAATTTATGCAAGTTTGTAGACTTGTTAGTCATATGATCAGTGGCTCCAGAATCTATAATCCAATAATCATGCACATTACCAATGTTGAGAGCAGTTGAGAAGGAGTGTAAGATACCTGGGATGTCCCTTTGTACCACGCCTTCATTTCCAGCCAGGAAGCCAGCAAACTGTCCTAGTAGTGCAGTTTGATTGTTGTCACACTGATTTAGTGGTCCTTCACTATCTCCAAGACCTTGTTTCTTGTGAAGAAACATAGCAAACTCGTTGATCAGTGCAGCTGGATTAGTGGTGAACTTCAGTGCTCCATCAGAAGAAGTTGTGGCAACATGATTTGCCTTGTAAGAAGGGTTGTACGAGCCTTTCGAGACACCTTTGTTATCCCTAGGAAACTTTGGTGTTAACTCTGGATGAAGAATCCAGCATCGATCTCTTGAGTGCCCACCAGCATCACAATGGCTACGTTTTAAGCCAGTTTTCTTTCCTTTGTAGCCTCTCTCCTCACCAAGTTTTTGGTTAGAGAAGTAAGCCCTAGCTTCTGGTATATTTGCCTTCATATCCAAGGTCATGACTTTCCTTCGAACCTCTTCTCTTTGAATTGTGGCACACACACTTGAAAAAGAAGGCAGGTCGGAATTCATGAGGATATGACTTCGAAGATCTTCGAATTCAGGACTCAGACTTGCTAGGAGTTGGAATATTTTGTCTTCCTCGGCTCTTTTAGTTAGCACAGCAGCGTCGATGGTGTGTAGTCGACACACATTCAGCTCGTTCCACATAGTGGTCAGCTTTCCAAGATGTTGCACAAATGGTTTCCCTTCCTGTTGCAAACCAGCAATGTCCTTCTTTAACTGAAACACTCTAGCCGCATTGTTCTGATTTCCATACATTTCCTTGAGATTTTTCCAAAGAGTCATGGAGGATTTAGCATAGCTAAAAATTTCTGCAATCTTACGATCCATGGAATTGAGTAGCCACGACATGACCAACTGGTCTTTGCATAGCCAAGCATCATACTCCGGTGAGGTAGTCTCAGGCATTGGAATAGCACCATTAACATAACCAAGCTTTGATCGTCCTCCCAGAGCAAGAGAAACTGCTCTCTCCCATGGAAGATAGTTAAACTCATTTAGCAAGACAGAACTAAGACGTTGATTTGGGTTGATATCAATATCTGAGTGTGGTGATGGTGGAGTAGCATGAAAGTCGTCTCCTTCCAAATTTACTAAGTTTTCTTCAGCCATGATTGAAGGACAAGAAGCTCACAAATCTCTCAAGAGAACATCACAGAGACAGGCCGGTTAGGGTCACTGCTCTGATACCATATTGAATTTTGAATGTCTATATTTTGTATTATGTAAAACCAAGTACAAGGGGGAAGCTCATATAAATGAGCGGAAGAAAAACAGAAGCCGAAAGAAAGGGAGGACAAGCAGAAAACATGGAAATGTAAAGGTGAGGAAAACATGGAGCATAAAACATGGAAAAGTAAAGGTGAGGAAAACATGGAAAAGTAAAGGAAAAGTAAAGGTGAGGAAAACATGGAAAAGTAAAGGTCACCACTTTCTTCCAATACACTTCGTATTGGGTAGGTAAATTGTTGTGCACGTAGAAAAAGGAAGAGTCCGAATTAGTCAAGGAAGAAAAAATTGCATCTAATCCTAGTTATGACAATTCAAACCCGTTTTGGTAGATATGAACCTATATGTGTAAACAAACTTCTTGATAACATTGATGACATGGAAAAACAACGAAGACCTAATTCTGGTGGCAATCAATTCGAGATGCCAGGGGCATTCTTTATTGAACATAAAACAAACAGGAAAATCGAATACAAAAACGAAAAAAACACAAACAGTTAAAAGCCCCGAGCAAGTTTATATCATATTTCGGCAGTGCAAGTCTTTCTGTTGTGGTGACCCAGGGTTCCACACCTAGAACATGTAATTGGCCTTGTCCGCTCCCCCGATGATTTGATTCGCTTCACCCTTGGTCTTCCGGGAGGTTTCTTTGTCAATGGTGGATTAATCAGCATTTCTTCATTTTCCTCCTGTGCATACCTATCGATATCTGGAATCGGCACAATTGGTATATCATAGCAACTCTTAAAAAACTGGGCCATGAAATAGTCTTCCACGTACTCATATGGATTCCCCTCCGACTTAAGTATAGCAGCAAGTGCATGGGCACAGGGGAAACCCCTTGATTTGCCACATTCTACAGCTACATGTGCGAGATTGGAGATCAACCATTACAGAGTCCTCACCATGCACCTCAAACAAAAACTCACTTGAACGACCAACATCCCAATGGCGCCCGCATTCCAGCAAATCTTGCATAATGGTCTCCAGGGCAAAGGAAAGTTTTCCAACCCTCAGCTACACGCCTCCTTTGTGCATTCATCTCCATGATCTTGGCCCTAATTCCATCAAGCATCTGGTATATGGGCAAAAAACGTTGATCGACAATCCATGCATTGAAGGATTCAGCTACGTTTGAACACATTTCGCCATACTTTGGGCCTGGAAAATGAGCGGCTGCCCAATTTTCTTTTGGAAGCGTTTTCAAGAAATCCCTCATTACAGCACCACCTTCCTCCATTAACGTCCTCAGATGCATTTCAAATGCATCCTCGGTAGGAGCATATGCACATTTCCCAAAAAGCTGAATGATCCAGTCGCGATACGACTTACCCAGGGAGGATGGGTACTTAAGAAGTATGTTTTGCTTCAAGTGGTGGTAACAAAATGCATGCGGTGATTGTGGAAATACTGATGCCACTGCTTCGATCAACCCCTTTTGTCGATCAGATATGAATGTAATGGTTCTTCCTTGAGGAGTGACGATTTTTGACAAGTTTTGGAGGAACCAAGACCAGTTCTCTTCATTTTCAGAGTTAACAACCGCAAAGGCTAAAGGATATATACCTGTTTCATACAAGACAATATGTTATAAATATTGTGAACTGGAAAACCTGATACCAGTTTGTTAAAATATAGGCAGAAAAAATAAATTGACACCTAAAATTTATACATAGCAGTGGATAATCTTCCAACAATATGACCTAGTTTATATACGGATGAACATATACAATATGTAACACACACATAATTTATAGGGACTATAACACATAATTTATAGGGACAATATGTTCTCCATAAATATGTAAGACATGATTGAACAAATGTATTAAGAAAATAAAATAAATCATAAATATATCATATTTGGATATAAGTACCTTGGTTTCCATTTTTCCCGGTAGCGGCAAGCGACCCTTGTATTTGTTCTTGATAAATGTTCCATCAAGAAATAACATAGGCCTGGAAACATAATTCTAGGTAAATTAAGAGTTGCCACATATGCAATTCATGTAAAATGAGAAATGATGTTAAAAAAATACTGTCACCATCATAATTTACCTACAAAACACAAATCCCCCTATGCAACCATGGAAAGATACGAATATCCTTTTAAATCGGGAAGATTCTGATTCGCTCTCCAACACACAATGTGAGCCAAGATTTGAACTTTCAATTGCTCTGACGTACCAAGCCAAGTGATTGTATGACAACAATTCGTCACCATGCATCAATTTTTTGGCTGATTCCTTCCCGTACCACGCATTATAGTACGAAATATCCAATCCATAATATTTCTTAAAATCCTTTACGATCTCAGTAGGCTTCAACATTGGCTTGGAAGATGCTTGCTCCACGAGAACAGATGAGACCACTTTGGACGACATCATGCCACCTTTCCGTTCACGAATCAACCTGCTGCAAGTGTGTGTGTTGTTCAATGTACGAATATAAAAAAAAACCATTGGCGTGACACAAAGTGGCGTGCACCCGCCACATACAACCTTTAGACAGTTTTTTAGAACACTCAGTTGTCACTCTCTCCTTTTCATTTTTAAAAAAGCTATCCTAAACCCCTTCTCGATGGAATACTTACGAAGTTTGTCTCTAAACTCAGAGACCCCCCCAATAAACCTTTGCCCAACGTGATTAATATAGGTTTTCCATGGGTGAAATAGATAAGTTTGTGGCAGTGGTGCAACATATTTTCCAATGAAATCATTAGTGTTACTAGGTGTAGCACCATCCCAAACGTTGAAGGAAACTCCATTCCCATTAACACCACTATTACCTTCACATGGTGATTGACACTCGTTAACAATAATAGTCACTGAATTTTGCTTGTTATTATAACATGACAAATGTAACACACGCACATCTAAATCAGATTTTAACAAGCAGGGAGGATGGTCAGGGACAACATAATTCATTTGGAATTCCCCAACTATGAGCTCATCAAACCGTGAACACACTTCAGAGCACAATCCCACGAAAGAGGTGCCGGCATATATTGGAATTGCTGCTGATGTGTTTTTGAAAACACATCCTGCAATGATGGCACCCTCCATTTTACTCCTAATAGTAAAACAACAATGAAATATATGTCAGTTGGTGAAATATATGGTAGGTTAATTAACAAACAATATGAAGAAAACAAAATGAACATAGATAAAAACAAATGATACAAATACCTTGTTTCTTTTTTCTGCCTGATCCGTATTTTGATAACACAATCACTCAAAAACCGCACTGGACTCAAGTATAAATGATAAAAATATAGAAAAAAAACCCAATGTGAGACCAACCTGATAAACTTTCGAATTTATATAGAACTAGAACTACACTAATTTCAGGATAAACACATGCAATAAAAGCGAAAAAAACCAAAATTAGTGCCTTTTCATATTTTAAATTTGGTAAGAAGATGAAAGATTGAAATAAAATGCCTAATTTTATGCAAATTTAAAAATATAGACAATGAATTCAGAAATATGCATAAATATTCAAGTCCTACATTTATGTCAAAACACTCCTTATATGGAGTTTGGAAACGGTAAATAAAATGTATTCCAACTATTATATTATGAGAAAAATATGCATAAACATTCAAGATTTAAATATCTGATTCTTTAATTTCGTTATTATTGAAATTGAGAAAAATATGCATAAATATTCAAGATTTAATATAGTCATTTAAATTAATAAAGTCATTCAATACATAAAACAATTCAAAAATCGTATAGCTTTTAAGACATTCATTCTCATATTCCATATTAATATGTAATTAGTTTAAATGCACCATTGATTCGGCTATATCTATGTACACATTAATTTCGCCTCTTGTGCTTTCATCTCCATAATTTCGTACATTAATATCTTTTGATTTATTATTTTTTTTTATTTCTCAAAGTCATTAACTCTTCCATATATTTTGCATGTAATTAATTTTTATAAATCAAACATACAATAGGGGTATTTTCGGCATCCAAAATATGTAAAATGTGTCAAGTTGAATGTAATTAATGAAATCGTTTATGTGGATCCTAATCACTTGGTTTTTCTAAAATAAAAAAGTCACGTTGGGTTTTTTATGTGTAAAATTAAATTCTAAGGACTAAAGTTATATTTTCAGTTATTTTTATGTCAGTGCTGAACCCATCACAGCTGACAAGCGAAAGAGCTTTGAACCCACCAAAACAAACACCCAACACCTCCAAACTCTCATCAGTGACCGTCATCCTCTTCAGCCGGAGCTCCTCCAGCAACGGGTACTCGGCGGCGAACGCCTCCAGCCACCACCGGACATCGGAGCCCCAATGGTCGGGGACTAGATGGAAGTCCGCAAACCGCGGATCCGAATACGAGATTTGAGAGAGTTGAAACTGAAAAAATGGAAAAGATTTTAAGTTTTGAATTTTTTAATGGTGAGATGTGGCATTGACATGAAGATGAAAGCTTTGGATGAAGAGAGAGATGAACGTGAAGATTTGAGGAGAGAGAAGGGCCAACCCATAGACCTTTGCGTATTAGAAAATGAATAAAAGGGAAAAGAAATTGATAATAATTCTCAGAAGAGGTCATTTTGAACCTTGTTTGTGCAGATTTCACCATAATTGATAACCCAGAAGCAAAAAATTGGAGAAAATGAAGAAATCGTTATGAAATCTCTTATGGAGTCTTGGGTTTCGGCTGGCTATTCTTCCTTCTTGGGCTCCTCTATCACCGGAGCCTCTGCTGGCGGTTGGGATGGAGGGAGGGAGAAGGAGCGCCAGTACCTTGGTTGTGGTTGATAAGGAGTTCACAATGCGCTAGAGAAGAGAGGGTTGGAGAAGAGTGGACGCCCGACTAATTATACCAACCTATAGCAGAGGATAACTAAGCGGGTATAGGCTGTATTAAATTGGTGAGACTGAATTGTTTTATTTGGTAGTTATTTAATACAAAAGGACATCAAACATCGTATTTCATATTATTAATATTATTTTATACTTTATACGGTGTGTCAAATGAGGCTTTAAAGGTTTGTATCTCTGGTGATTGAATTCTTAAACGATACAACATGAAAATCGACTAACAATAAATAAAATAAAATAAGCCTTAATCCTATATTTGATAAAGTGAAATGGATATAAAATTGTAAATGAGTCGACTCAAACTGAATAGCACCACTATGTTTACGTTTAACTTGCCCCTTATACGTGCCAAGCTCAAGCGAGTTAAAAAAAAAGTTCAAATTCAATAATTAATTAAAATTGTTTTGAACTATTTATTATGGAGGCAAATTTTCTGCCCTCTCACTTCTCATGCCCTTCTGTTTTTGTGGTCACAGTTAAGACACGTCAACATTTTATATTATTATTCATTTTTGTCTTATTATCTCTATAAAAAAATAATATAAAACGTTGACGTAACTTAACCGTGACCATACAAAACAGGAGGGTACGGGAAGTGGGAAGGCAGAGAATCTGCCTCCATTTATTATAATATGTTGATAATATGGTGTTTCTTTTAGGTAAGGGATCCTCTTCGAATCTTTTCCACCAAATCATTCACATCAAACAATCCGGGCTCTTGAAATTTGATCAAACGGCTAAAATTATTATAATTTTTAAAGTTGATCCCTGTTAGTAGTTGTTGGATTAAATTTCAAGGGTTCAGATTAGTTGATGGGAAGGATTTGGTGGAAGGGATCTAAAAATGATCCATTTCCTTTCTTTTAAATAAAATTTTCTTGATTAGTACATTTTAATAATAGAATATAGAAAACATAAACATTGTAATAAACTTTTTCCGAACATGCCACTTTCAAATAGTCACATAAATGTATATTTCATTCTTGGGTAAATATCAATCTCTACCCTCAAGTTTCATGGTTTTCAACATTTAGTATATGAAGTTTTTTTTCGTCCCAGAGTTATACTTAAAGTGTTAATTTTGACACAGTCTCATACATCTGTTAATTTGGCTGTTAAGCCTCCCGTTAACTGATGACGTGGCGTTCATGTGGACAATGACTAGATGCCACGTGTCATTAAGAGTCGACGTGGAAATTAAAAATTCAAAAAAAAAATTTAAAAATAATTAATTAAATAAAAGTATTTAAAAAAAAACCAAAACCTTACCCTTGCCCACCCGAGCCACCCTTTCTCTGATCCATTCTTCCCTCTTCACCTCCCCGACCCACCTTATCCCTCTCTCTGCGACTCTAGGCCGTCCAATCCACCTTCGTCCCTTATTTGATACCTGCCCTACAAAAGCAATTTGCAAACACCTCGTCCCCGCCACCGAGCGCAGAGAAACTAATAGACCAAAGAGAAGCGATAATGGGGAAAGCAAGCTACAAGAAGTTAACCAGAAGCCAAAACCTAAGGCAATGGCTCGTACTGGCGGTGTTTACGTCTACACCAGTTCTTATCGAGGACATTTACGCAAAGGAGACATCACCCGGCCTCCGCCCCCATGAGGTCTTATTCCTCCGCTTGCTTGAGAAGGTCTTTGATGACTGCGTCGTCGAAATAAACGAGCAAGTGATCTCCATGGTTGAGATCCACCTGGAAAAGCTTCAGGTCAGCGATGTAGGACTGGCAACCATCTCCAATTGCTTGGATCTGGAGATTCTACACTTGGTCAAGATCCTCGAGTGAACCAATGTGGGATTAGTCTTCGTCGCCGAACATTGCATGCTGCTAAGGAAGCTTCACATAGACAGATTGAAGGCTAATCGAGTAGGCGACAAAGGGAAGATGAATGGGGTGGGGTCGTGGAGGGGTGTGGGGAAGACGAACGGGGTGGAGCCGTGGAAGGGTGTGCGGATGAGAGAATGGAGGGAGAGGGTCAGGGGTTGAGGTAGGTGCCGATAAACTTTTTTTTAATTTTTAAATTGAGTGGGTCAGGGGTTGAGGGAGGGAGAGGGTTGGATTTGCACATATGGGTAGAGGCCAAGAAGGAAGGGATGGTCGAGGTTGAGGAACAACCTCTTTTCTTTTTTTTTTAATATCCATGTGGTGCCCAATCATTGTCCACATGGGCAACACGTCATTAGTTAACGGAAAATTTAACAGTTTGAATAACGGATGTATGAAGCTGTCCCAAAATTTGCACTTTAGGTACGACTCTAGGACGAAAAAAACTTGATGTACTAAATGTTGAAAACCACGAAACATGAGGGTAGTAAACTGATATTTATCCTTCATTTTTTATCATATTTTATGCGTGGAATAATGGAAAGCAGTGTCGTCCTTGATTCCGGGGAAAGGGATTATCTCCAGATCCCTTCCTCTTAATTCACAAAATTAGAAGATTCGGACCATTGAAATTTGATCCAATGGCTAAAGGATAATTTTTAAAGTGGACCCTTGTTTATAGTCGTTGGATCAAATTTCAATGG